GTGGGGGGTGGGGGGGACCCCAGAGTCAGACACCACCCAGGCGCTAGAGCACCGCAGGACGAGGGAGACCGGGACTTGCACAAGGTCACAAGGAGCAGATCTAACCAAGGGTCAGAGCTCACCAGAGCTTTCTCACTATCCAGGCTGCCGGGTCTCAGGCCCGCTGTGTCCGGAGCCATCGTCTGCCCTTGCACAGTCTCCTGGAGTGGTGAGGACTAAATGAGAGGGTTACGTGGAGCACGTTCACGGGGCCTGGCAGAATTAGCACTTAGTACCTCCACGGTTCACCTGGATTCTGAGCTCCAGGGGCAGGCCAGGTTGTATTTTCCTTTTTAGATTTCCAGGGCTGCAAGAAGAGGGTCTGCTCCTCACTTCCCAGGGCTGTTGTTGAACCAGACTCTGCTGTGATGTTCTATAGACAAAGGTAACTCTTTCAGCCCACACGGATTGAGTTCCTACTCTGCATTATTCATGATTTTATTCATTCAGAAAATAGTTTTGTTCATTGTCTGCTTCTTCACTGGTCTGTAATGGTAGCACCTGTGTTTCATCAGTTGCTCTATCTGTAGTGTCTAAAACCGAGCTTGGCATAAAAGTATGCACCTGATTCTTCTTTCTTAAGTAAATGAATGGTAGGAAAGCCAGGAAGAGGAGGCACAAGACTGGGAAATGTGGGTAGGTCTGGAGCCCAGGAAAGTGAATGTGAGAGAATTCATGGTAGTAAATATGAATTAAGTAGAATGCTTTCAGCTCCAAGTAGCAGACCTGATTCAAACTGGCTTACTCACTATGGAAATGTATCATGTCATAGTGCAGGCGACCCAATGGTAAGCATAGACATTGATTTTTAAAAATATATTTTTATTGATTTCAGAGAGGAAGGAAGAGGGAGAGAGAGATAGAAACATCCATGATGAGAGAGAATCATAGATCAGCTGCCTCCTGCAAGTCCCCCACTGGGGATCGAGCCCACAACCCGGGCATGTGCCCTTGACCAGAATCAAACCTGGGACCCTTCAGTTCACAGGCCAACGCTCTATCCACTGAGCCAAACCAGCTAGGGCTAGACATCCATTCTTTTGTTCCACTAATTTATGCATTCATTGGTTGATTATTTTTTTAATATATTTTATTGATTTTTTTACAGAGAAAGGGAGAGGGACAGAGAGCCAGAAACATCGATGAGAGAGAAACATCGATCAGCTGCTTCCTGCACATCTCCCTACTGGGTATGTGCCCGCAACCAAGGTACATGCCCTTGACCGGAATCAAACCTTCGACCCTTGAGTCCGCAGGCCGATGCTCTATCCACTGAGCCAAACCGGCTAGGGCTGGTTGATTTTTGTTTGTTTGTTTGTTTTTGTTGTTGTTGTTAATCATCACCGGGAATATTTTTCCATTGATTTTTAGAGAGTGGAAGGGAGTGGGAGAGACACACAGAGAGAAACATTGATGTGAGAGCAGCACATCGATTGGTGCCTCCCACATGCTTCCCAACCAGGGCCAGGGATGGAGCCTGCCCTTGATCAGAATTGAACCAGGGCCCCTTCAGTCCATGGGCTGATGCTCTATCTACTGAGCAAAACTGACTAGAGCCATTGGTTGATTCTTGTATGTGTCCTGACTGGGGATCGGACCCACAACTTTAGTGTATCAGGACAATACTCTAACTGAGCACCCAGCCAGGATGAGAGTCTGCATTTCTGATAGGACCTCGTGTGTGTGCTTCTGGTGGTCTCAGACCACATTTTAGGACTTAGAGTACAGGAGGCTTATTACTCCACATTTGGAGGAGTCTTTAAGTAGCTGGTTTTCGAGATGGTTAATCCAGAGGTTCAAAGACACTGGGGCGTCAGATAATCTTGTCTATGGTTTCTTTGGCCTTGGTTGAAAAAGAATAGAAGCAGGTCCTACCTGACAATATTCAGATATAGAAGAGGAAATGGCTGTCTTATAATCCTTTTAAAGAATAAGATAAACTCTTCCAGGAGCTCTCAGCTGATTTCCCATCACTTCTGATTGGCTAGAATTGTGTCATATGCTGGTGCTTAAGCCAATCCCTTGTCAAGGCCATTCAGAGAAGGGTGAATGAAATCAAAAGGGAGGAAATAAGTGTGAGTTGGGTAAACAGCCAAGAATGTCTCCCACATCTGCTCAGAGTTTATTCTCTTCTTTTTCACTGTGTTGAGAGAGCCCCCCTTACCCCACTGTGGCAGGAGATGGCAGATATGCTCTGTGGAGGATAGATCTCTGGAGTCCAAGGCAAAGCTTGATTACATTTACACCACACTTGAGCACCCCCCTTGCCCAATCCAATCCTCGTTGCCTGCTGCTCACAGATGAGTGCTCCTTGCACACCGCCTCATTCCTCCCCCGCCCATCCTACAGTAATGCTCTGTGGTCTGCCCTGGCAGGACTTTTCTCAGCTACCATCTGACATGATCTCCTACATCTAAAAAGAGCCCAACATTCAAGTTCCATCAGTCTCCTTTCACTGTTCCTCAAGCACTCGGTTCATTTCTGCCTGTAAGTCTACACTTCAACTCGTCTCTTTTTCCTAATAAACTTTCTTTTTCCTTCTTGTTCAAATTCCACCCATCAATCAAGAGCTCTTCCAGACATGGTTTCTCAGTCCTGATGGAAGGGAGCAGAAGCCCTGTGTTAGGATCCTTGATTACCCACAACCACACCCCCATCCTCCCACCAATCTTGTATCATGGGGACTGCCATTCTGGTGAAGAAAAGGCTGAGAGAGGTAGAAAGAGACTGGGCTGGGGTTCAAGCCTACCTCTACCTGTGCTCTGAATCACTGTGCAATACTGTCTCCTGAAGCCGGCAAAGTAAATGTTAGCTGAGTTGTTTATGGACTGTGTCATATATATTAGTGGCCTCATGACCCCAGCTGACCATGCCTGAGGCTTGTAGAGCACAGTGGGAGCAGGAAAGTACCCCACTAATGAAAACCCACCTTGTGCCTTCAGAGACACCACAACTAGCCATTGTCAGGGGCAGACCAGAGTTATAAGGGGCAGTGGACTCAGTACCACGGTCAGTAAGTGTGAGGAACTACCAGGAGGCACCACCAGAAGTGCTGGAAGTGGGCAGCTCTGGGGGATGAAACTCAGGAATTGTGGAGAGAGGCAGGGAGTTTCTCTTTTTATTGTAAAGCCTCGTAGCACCATTTGGCTTTTAATACTACATGCAATATTACTTTGATTAAAAATAACTTTAACCAAATTCAATGAATACATGAACGACCCTTTTAAAATCCTGAATGTGGAGAAAAGAAGGAAATAGATGACAATAGCCATCTTATGGGTTTGTAGTAAGGATTAAACAAAAGAAGGCATTGAACACATTTGACACAGAACCAGCAGCAAGAATTATTATGCTCATGATCGATTCATTAGACGTAAGAGATGTTATTGTAAAGACAGACTTTGATAATTAGAGATCACTCTGGGCTCCATCAAGACAGAACGTTGCTATCTTCTACACTGACCCTTCTTCTGCCTCTTCTTCGCCTCTAGATTTTAATTTCAACCCGATCCACCCAATGGAGTAATTATCCTCACCAACTCCTCTGCACACTTACACATACCCCTTCCATCATGCTTCCACTTCAGCCCAACCCTTAACCCTGAGAAAAAGGGAAATAGACAATCAGATTGTATAGTTCAGAGGGGAAAGTAATTGACTTCCCCAGGACATTTATGTTTCTAGGAAAGTGAATTTGGAAGGAAATACTGAATCATGTTATTCAAGTCCCATTCATTCAGTCATTCATTGCACATTTATTGCGTGCATGCAAGGTGCCAAGCATAGTTCTAGGTACTGAAGGTGCAACAACAAACAAGATAAGTAAGCTTCGCATCTCCATGGAGTTTACATACAATGTCACAGTGACCAGGCAGGCCTCTGGCAAGGACAGTCACCTCCATTTGCTGCTGATGAGTTTAATGCAGTGGAATGAAATAAAAGACATAAATTGGGTGCCTGCTCATTCACAGCTCCCTGCTTAAGGGGAAATCTTTATACCATGTGATCCTGTTCTCCTAACCACAGCTTTTTGGATCAGTAACAATCTGACCCAAGCTAGGCTATTAGATTCTTTGCCAAAATTAGCTGTGGGGAGGTAAGTTGAAAGGCCATGTAGAGTTGGGCCCACAGCAGAAACCAGAGAGACACCATAACAAGCCCATGTCATGGGCAGGCCAGGGGTATAAGGGGCCAGATGCTGAAGTAGGCTGAGGTGAGCCCTCTGTCTACAAAGAGGAAAATGTGGCAACTATACTATGAGAAGAAACCAGAGAAATTTGACCCCAGGAAGAAAGAGAAAGAGAGAGCAAACAGACGACTTCTTTTAAATATATATTTGTATTGATTTCAGAGAAGAAGGAAGGAGAGAGCGATAGAAACATCAATGATGACAGAGAATCATTGATCGGCTGCCTCCTGCATGCCCCTATTAGGAATCGAGTCCCCAACCCGGGCATGTGCCCTTGACCAGAATCGAACCCGGGTCCCTTCAGGCCGACTCTATCCACTTCGCCACACCGGCCAGGGCTAAGACTTCTTCTAAAAGGTTAGAGCAGCTGCCTCTCTATCTGACAGTCTCCAGACCCAGCTCCATCTCCTGCCAGTTTGTTCAGTTCATTCTTGGGAGATGTGTCCATGCACCCGATAGCTTCTCTCTCCTTCACTTTAGGTTTAAATCTTTCTGTCTGTGGCAGACGGACCCTAAAGTGGTCCCCATGATTCCTGTTCCCTGGTGTCCGTGCCTTTGTGAAATCCTCCCCACCCCCATGTCAAGATGCAGCAGCTCCAGGTGTCAAATGCAGACATGACATTAGGAGGAAAACTTTTTCTAGAATCCCCAATTCAGAAGCCACGGTTGCATCACACACCCATGCCTAAGCTACACTCAGACATGGACTGGGCTGAAAAATGATTAGCCAGTAACAATCTTTATTCATCCCCGATAGCGTCATCTTCTCTGAGCAAAGGATTACAGTAGATAAACGAACAAAATTGGGGATTTCTCAGGAACAAAAAATATGAGAGGGAAGAGGTATTGGGGTAGATAATCAGCATTGTTTACCTTGCCAACAGATATACTTATTTTCTGTAAAGGTGTGTGTGTGTGAGTGTGTATCAAGAAGGGTATAGATCAATCTATTAACAAGATTTAAATTTTGAAATGGGACTGTGTAGAATGAATGGATATTTTCACTTTTTACTTAGGAAAATTTTATTAGTTTATATTACTTGGGTAATTTAAATGTAAGAGGACTGCTTCAATCTTGAAGTTGGCTGATCGGAGATAGAACTAAGCCTGGCCCGTGTGGCTCAGTGGTTGAGCATCAACCTATGAACTAGGAGGTCACGGTTCGGTTCCAGGTCACGGCACATGCCTGGGTTGTGAGCTTGATCCCCACCCAGTAGGGGGTGTGAAGGAGACAGCCAATCAGTGATTCTCATTGATGTTTCTATCTTTCCCTCCCTCTCCCTTCCAATTTGAAAGCAATAAAAATTTTTTTAAAAAAAGAAATAGAACTAAGATTTTAAAAAGAGAGCAAGTCAGAGAAGCATCTGTTGATGGGTCCCATTCCCACCCCTGCACCCCAGTAGTCACTCAGGTACCAGAGCAAGTTTATTCCTCCTGAGGATTTGGAGGCACAGGGCTCTCACCATCCAACCCCAACTCCCTCTCCTCACACTCAGCGCAGCCTGCACATCACAGACTGGCTTCCTGTGCACAGTTTTCGGCAAGGGAAGAATTTGCTGGACGTGGCGATGTGAGCATTCTGGCCCCCTCGGCAGTTCCATTTCTCATCGCATATGAACACATTGGTTCTTATAGCACAGCGGTTCTCAACCTGTGGGTCGCGACCCCTTTGGCGGTCGAACGACCCTTTCACAGGGGTCGCCTAAGACCATCCTGCATATCAGATATTTACATTATGATTCATAACAGTAGCAACATTATAGTTATAAAGTAGCAACGAAAATAATTTATGGTTGGGTCACAACATGAAGAACTGTATTTAAAGGGCCAGAAGGTTGAGAACCACTGTTATAGCAGGATAGGAGCTGAGTTAGTCTGATCTACTTCCCGACTCCCCAGTATATAGAATCTCTCTCTTAGTGCTGTTAAGCGAAGTTGATGAGCTTGGACCATGATGAATCCACCAAGGTACATGTCGCCTCTGAGGCCACTTGGTGGCGGGCCAGCCAGCCTGACCTGATCGTATTCCTGTCTCTTCAAACGCATTTCCTTCAGGTTCCTTGCTTTCTAGCCACATTCATCTCAAAGGGTGTCTCTTTCTTTACCCCTCATTCTGTCTTTCCCTCTAGGACTGTTTCTCTAATTCTCTCTCTTTTCCTACTTCACCAGCGAACCTTCCTTTATCCTTTCCCCTTTCTTTCTTTCTGTTGTTCACCTTAATTAACCATGGTGTTGAATAATAAAATATGCTGGAACTATGTGTCAAGCACTGTGTTGGGCCACATATAAATTATATTCCAACCTCACGATAACGCTGAGAAATATTTTCATTCCTATTTTACAGAGGAGGAAGTAGAGGCTCATGAGGCTGTGTTGTGTTTGATAATCTATAGGTTTTCTTTGTTTAATTTCCAAAGTCAAAAAATGTTTTGTGTTTCTTTTATCTTAGAAAAATACAGTGTAAGCATTTGCTTATAGCCTCCATCATATTTTTAAAAAATATATTTTATTGCTTTTTTACAGAGAGGAAGGGAGAGGGATAGAGAGTTAGAAACATCGATCAGCTGTCTCCCGCACACCCCCTACGGGGGACGTGCCTGCAACCAAGGTACATGCCCTTGACTGGAATCGAACCTGGGACCCTTCAGTCCCCAGGCCGATGCTCTATCCAGTGAGCCAAACAGGCTAGGGTGCCTCCCTCTTATTTTTGCCAGTAAGTCTCTTGTCCTAGAAAAGAATTCACCCTGACGGGAAGCCTGTGGCTCCTTCCTGACACGCTCAGGTCGGAGCTCTCCCGTGCTGCCAGGTGGTGTGGTGATCCTCACAGAGTCTTTTTCCTCCTCCTGCCCCATTCCATCCCACCGGAGTTCACGCCCAGGCCGGGCCTCTCCTGGGCACAGAGCCACAACTTTAAGCCGTCTCACCTGGCGAGAGGTAGAGTCCGGCCCACCTGATCTTGGCTCACTTGTTGCTCACTTTGCTTTAGGGCCTGAGCACCTGGTGTGTGCAAGTGTGTGTGTACTGTTGTGCCATCTGTGTACCCCGCTCACTGGCCACAGTTACCCTTATGAGTACACTACAATGGGGACACATGGATGTCTCTCTCTGTCTCTTCCCCTCCCTTCCACTCTCTCTAAAAATCAATGGGAAAAAAGTCCTCTGGTGAGGATAACAAAAAAGAAAAGAAA